ATAAAACAAATTTACTCTCACAGCGTAGGATACAGCGTCTTCTCTACATGATGTTAACCACACTGAAATTGTACTGTTTGTGGGTGTGCAAGTTGGCGACGTAGAACATGGGCAGACATTATGCAAATGTGTTACTTCTTGACGTAAAGCCGTAACAGAATAAGATTCCTGACGACTCGTTTAGGCGATAGACAATAACTAACGTGTATTTTGACCTTGCATGCATGTAAACCTGTTTTAGGAGACTCATAAAACAATATTAGCAACCTTAAAAATGGCATAATAGGGGTCCTTTAAGGGTAAAGGTGAATTTAGATCATATGCTACAAAGGAGTTCACGCCATTTTATAGCAGGGTATGTTGTAATACTTGTGAACATGTGAGCATTGGTTAGAATAATTGTATAGGTTTCATAAACATGCAATGCACTCAATTGCACAGAAGGTTAATGACTTGCATATCTCACTGCACGTGAACAGACCTCAGTTGAGCAGTCATCCCAATTGAATACACTATCTCAAGCTATATAACTCTAAACATACCATTCATGAATATGAATTGGTTCTGCACTTCCCATAAGAGCAGATAGCTCTTGTTAAAGATCCTCTCTTTCCTCACAGGCTTTGCAGCACGATCAGCAATCTCATCATTCTTCTCCATCCCTTGTGCTGGTTTAGTTTAGAGTCACTCCGGAGGGGAATGGGCAAGACTAATAGCCTTAGTAGGAGGAATGCTTTCTTTGCCTCAATATTCATTGTTTTGAGTAATTGACATTTTTTCTCAGTAGGTGCAGATTCATTTTTGTTCAAGTTTAGAGGTGTAAAACAGAGTCAGTGTCACATTACCTCCCATTATATTTCTGGGTAAGCTTTAACAACACTATTTTTAAATGTGCTAAAATTAAATGTTTGGGTAAATATAGAATACCCCACAGTGGGGATCTGTGCACCTCATTTGCAGAGTAGTGGTTTGACTGATCACACACTGTTCATTGAAGGAATCAAAAATTCACATACAGAGATTTCTTAAATTTTTTCATGTTTGCCTGCTTTTTTTTCCCCAACAGCACAGATCAGTGGTTTATAAGGTTAGCATGAAATAGAAGTTGCAGTTGGTTTTTCTTCCCTATTGTGACGTACTGTATACCTGAATAAAACTGCTACTTGAATGAGAAAAAAATGTAGGGCAGGATATAACTTGTATGTTATATTATTATATTGTATTGTTATAATATAATATTATACTTTTTGTGCGCAAAAGAATACTTTTTGTGCACAAGAGAAAATAAAAACTTTATCAGACTTTATTCAACTATTCGTCTCCTCCACATAACCCTGTAGTGCCATTTTGGAGAGTATCAGCTGGACGTAATCAATGTCACGCCGGATCTGTTTCCTACAATGTTGGGGCGTGACGCAGCTGACACAGAACAGCATACGCTGTTTACGTCCAGTGGATATTCTCCAAAATGGCGCTACAGGGTGACGTGGAGGAGACGAATTGTTGAATAAAGTCTGATAAAGTTGTTATTTTCTTTTGCGCACAAAAAGTATTCTCGTAGCTTCGTAAAATTACGGTTGAACATGGATTATTTTACAGATCTCCTTGCTGCGTTTCTGGACTTGGGAACATTTCAGTTGTATTGCTGTCTATGCAGGGTCAGACAGCTCTCAGATTCCATCAAAAATATCTTAATTTGTGTTCCGAAAATGAACGAAGGTCTTACGGGTTTGAAACGACATGAGGGTGAGTAATTAATGACAGAATTTTCATTTTTGTCAGGACCACTATGGTCAAAGATGATTGACAATTAGCATACAGTTTGGATTGGCGGTATGGTTCTGTTCTGGGCAAGAATAAGAGCATTGATAACGTCTAACCCACATGTAAATTTAATCTGACCCACAGTTTGACATAAGCAGAAAGTTTAGTAGTCAAAGAAATCTTATGGCATGAAATAGAAATATTTAAGATTAAGAGCACTATTTCTAGAATATATATATATATATATATATATAGATCACTAATCAAATTTGTAACAATAACCATATGAACTTTGTTTAAAAGGTCAAATGCTTTTTCCACGGAAGCAAATCATGCTGGAGAGCATGATAATCAGGTTTTACTTTGAACTTTTCATTTAGACTGTTATATTGTAAATAATTTATGATGAAAAAATAAAATAGAAAAATGCAAAACAGAAGCATTTCACACATTTAATCACACTTTTGAACAGCACACTAGATCAATAGCAAGTAGGTAGGTAGGTAGATTAGATAGATAGATAGATAGATAGATAGATAGATAGATAGATAGATAGATAGATAGATAGATAGATAGATAGATAGATAGATAGATACTGTATAGCTCACCTGGGCGCTGATTATTCCAGTGCAGTACAACATGCCTGCACTATATGAGGATAAGGTGGGGAGGGAGGTTACAAGAGCTCTTAGCCTATCACAACCATGCACATGGGAGTAAATCTCTCTCCTCTCT